TAAGAACTCAAAAGAAGAAATACAGATGGAAAGGTATAATACAAGTAAAAGGAAAGCAGGATCTCAAGGACTAACTGTTTAAGAGAGGGAAAGGAGAAGAGCTAGGAAACATGACAATGTCAAGCCATACAGTTATATGTAGATAATGGGCAAGGCAATGATCCTGAGAATCTTCAGAAGATTTTTGAATCTAGCTGTTAATTGGACAGATTCTCACCATGACTAACTATATATACTGATACCTGTGTACTAAGTAACTGCACTGCAAATGGTAATTTGTAAGAGTAGTTTCATGCTTGGAGTGTCTGTCAGTCTGTTCTTCTGAATATGGGCTGCTTGTCATGACATGCCAGTTGCTGCTATGATGTCTCTCAGGTAGATGGTTGTTCAAGAAGAAGGGGGTGGTGAATGAAAGCAAGAGACAGGAAAAGGAATAATGTGGCACTGTCTTGCTTCCAGGTTGTATATTGTGAGATTTTTGGACTTATGTGTAAACATAAGAAGCATAGAATTCTTTATGCATATTTTAAAAATATATTCTAAATTTTAAATGTTTTTTATCATATACTGTAGGGACTTAAAGTTCAACATATCAATACTCATTGAAAAATACCTATTCCATATTATGCATTAGATGTTTGATATGCAGACAGATAGTGAGGTTAAGCTTAACAGCCTAAGTTGTATGGTAATGACAATAAGTTTGTCTTCTGGATGGTTAACAACCTAAGTTTGCAGACTAAAATTAGAGAAAAAGAAGGGCTGCACGGAAAGCCAACATTTTGGCCCTAGCCCTCTAAGTTCAATTAAGACTGAAGACATATGAGAACCTGTACTGTAACGTCATGTAACTCAGTAGCGCCCCAAATTTTCTGATCAAGGAGATTATGGGGCCAAAGAGGAAAGTGATTGATGATGTAGACTGTGCCTAAGGAGAATCACTTGGAGAGAAAACATTCAGGCTTTCACAGAGAGCACATTGGCCAAGCAATGGCCGTGACTCATCCACATGACTGACACTGACAAAATTTCTACAATCTGAGGTACAGGATCTCAGGATAAATCCTGAGGGGATTTCACTGAGCTCATCAGATCCAAATGCTACAATGCTTGTTGCGTAGGTCCTGCTTTACCTTGTTCCAGCAGAAAAGTATAAAAACGAAGTATGAGAAGTAAAGCCATGCTGTTATGTTGAGCTGTGGGGGACTCAGGTCAACAATTTCTGACATTGTCAGTGAAGCAGAAGACCCAATACTATTATGGGCTACTGGAGTGTTTTTGAATATTTTACTGAGTTTACACACGTATAATATTCAAATAACGGAACTTAACAAAAAAAGATGATACAGATGAATGTCCATTTTGTATCTGTGTATTCAAAATGGTTAGGATAGCTATATAGTTACATTCTCTTAAGGAATAGAGTGATTTGTTCTAATGGTGTTTGTAAATAAGGATATCATGTCCGCATCTTGTACAGCAATTAACCACTAAGAAGAATGTATGCAACGTGTGAATTATTGAAAGTGTCCTACCAATTTAATTTGAAACTATCTCATTGCTATTTGTTTATCAATAAAATTATGGGAAAAAATAAATGAGAGGTGAACAGCAAAAAAAGAAATAAAACTATGCCAATACATATAATAATTAAATTTAAAATTCAGCACCAGAATAGAATATTAAAAGCTGTTGGAGAAAAGAAAGAGATCTCCTATAAAGGAAAGCCTATCATAATTATGACAGATAAAACTAAACAAAAAAGAGAAATATAATCGATGTCTCATTTTGTAACTTTATATACAAAATAGTTAGGATAGATATATAGCTATTTTCTCTTCATTCAAAGAGAAGGAAGATTTGTACTAACAGTGCTTAGACAGGATATCATGTCTGCATCTTGCACTGTGAATATCTACTTTAAAGACAACAATATGCAATGTATTAATTATCATAATTGTCATACTAACTTTTTTTGAAACTGTCTCATTGGTATTTGTTTCTCAAAAAAATTAATTAAAAAAAGGATTATGACAGATTCTCACCACAAACTTTCAAGCTTGGAGTAAATTATTTGAAGTCCTAAAACAAAACAACTTTCAACCCAGATTGATGTATTTTTTGAAACTGTCTTTCAAAATCAGTGGATAAACAGGACACTTCCATAATAAAGAGCAACTAAAGAAATTCACAGCCACCAAACCAAATCTACAAAAAGTAGTGAAAGACATTCTAGACAGAGATAAAAATGACCACAATTCCAAGAATAACAATAGAAAGAAACCAGGCGTCAGGGAAAGCAATTAAATAGAGGGGAAAAGCATGGAACCAGTATCAGGAAAGATATCATGACAAAGATAACCCAATACACAATACATATCAGCTATAGTCATCAGTGCAAATGGCCTCAATTTGCCAATCAAAACAAAATGACTGGTAGAACAGATCAAGAAACAAGTTACAGGAGTTTGTGGGTTAGCTCAGTTGTTTAGAGCCCCTGCTTGGGCAAACTCCATCAGGTGCAGGGAACTGTGGTTTGATCTTCAGCTCCTCATGCCCCATCAGACTGTCTCTTAAGGCAACCTGAGTCAGCCAAAGAAGTTAATAAATAAAACAAAGAAACAAGATACAACTTTGTGTTGTATACAAGATACACATGTAACTGAAAAAGAAATTCATAGGCTGAGAATTAGAGGATGGAAAGCAGTCTTCCATACAACAAAAACCTAGAAAATAGCAGGGGTATTTGTTCTGTTTGCAGAACGTTCTTCAAACAATGATCAAAAGAGATAAAGAAGATCACTACCTACTTGTTAAGTAAAAACTTCAGGAGGAAGAGGAAACAATCACAATATGTATGAACCAAGTATGGGAGCACCCAATTAATTATAAAATCCAATTATCATCATCATCATCATCATCATCATCACCACCATCATAATCATTATTATTATTTTGGTACTGAGGATCAAACTCAGGACCTTACACTTGGCAGGCAAGCACATATGCCTCTGAGCTATCACCCCAAGCCCCAATCCAATTATTAATAGACATGAAAAATCAAATGAGCAACAACACAGCCGTAACATGGTATCTTAATACCCCCTTGTCACAAAGAACTAGATCAACTAGACAAAACATCAGCAAAGAAATAACAGAAATGAAGCAAACCTGGGAACAAATGGATTTAGTAGATGTTTTACCAAACAACATCACAATGTACATCCTTCTCAGCTACACATGGGACATTCTCTAAAACAGATCATATACTTGCCCACAGAACAAGCTTAAGTAAATGAAAAGGAATTGAATTTATCTTATACATATTATTTGGCCATAGTGTAATGAAACTGGAAACTAATGACAAAAGAAACTGCAAACACTCCATAAACACATGGAAATTAAATAATATCCTCCTCAACAACCAATTGGTGGGGGCCATGGAGATGGCTCGATGGAATAAGTATTTCCCTGGCAAGTTCAAGGCCTGAGTTCAATCCCCAGTTCTGCAAAAAAAAAAAAAAAAAAAAAAAAAAAAACAAAAAAAAAAAAACACCCAACAACAACAACAACAAAAAACCCCAACCAATTGGTTATAAGTGAAATAAGGAAGAAATTAAACAATATCTATAGCTAAATGAGGGTCTTGGTTTGTTTTTGCTCACTGTTGAGACAAAATACATGACACCTCAAATTAAGGAAGGAAGGGTATATTTAGCTCACAGTTTGTGAAGGTTTCAGTCCATCGCCAACTGGCACCAAGGCAGGGTGGCTCGGCACAGAAACAGCTGCCCAGGATATCCCCACCCAGGGGAGTGTAGCACTCACATATCTCTATTCCCTCCTCTTGCAGAGGCTCAGGATGAATACAAAGTTAGGACGCTGACCTCCTGCTGAGTCACTTAGTTGACCTTCTAAACTTCTCAATTTGACACAATAAACAACATTCTCATGCTCTAAGGGCATATCTTTTTTTACCCTAGGATGTAGAAATGCTGAGTTACATAGTTCAGTTTCTAGACTCCTCAGGTTGACCTAGTGTATCAACCGTAACAACAAAGCACATGCAATATACTGGAATTTATGGGATGCAATGAAAACAGTCCTTTTTAATTTTAAAGAGAGTAAAAATTATAATTAAAGCAGAAAAAAATTACAAGTGATAAAATTTCACTTAAAGTAATATGAATTTCACGGTACTTGTAATACATAGTGTTGTATTCCAACCAGTTATGCATATTCCCAGATATACGCATGTAAAATTAGAAGAAGAAAAAAGAAAGAAATATATAAGAGATTAAGAAGAGAAAAAGTACTAATTGAAGAAAGGAGATGAAACAAATTAAAGCATTAAGTTTCTATCCATAGACCAGCAGAAATTCACAGTACAGTTGTTCAAACTATCCTGCTTACATACGTAAATAAATCTCTTTCCCCCAACTCTTTTCCTTTCTTTCTCCTCAACTCAGTAACTCTTTCCTTTTGAATAAGTTCATTCCATTTTCCCAGTATCTATTGTATCCTTCAGATTCTATTTTTCTCTTTCAGGTTCTTACACTAAAGACACAATACTATGTTTGCACATGTGGGTCTGATTTGTTTCATTTAAGAGTATGTTTTCTAATTGCATCCATTTACTGACAAAACACTCAAATTTATACTGTTTTCTAACTGAATAATACTCCATTGTGTAAAAAAGACTACAACTTCTTTATCCATTCTTCATTTGATGGACATCTGGGCTGTTTCTAGGATTTCGTTATGACAAATTGCACTGCTAAAAAAATGGGTGCACATATATGAGTGTGGTATGAGGTTTTCAGTTCTTCTGGAAAGATACCCAGGAGGGGAATAGTTGACTTGAATAAGATCTCCAATTCTATTTTATTTATTTATTTATTTTTAATTTTTATGCATTTGGTATAGGGTCTACAGCGTCTCACTAGACAGACCAGACTCACAGCAATTCTCCTGTTTTCAGCTTCCCAAATGCTGGGAATATCGCTTCCTGGCCTTTTGACTAAGATCAAGTGTAGTATCTGTTCTTATCAGTTTAATATCTGATACATCCTCTATCCAAATGCTGGGATTATAGGTGCTTGCCACGATGCCAAGTCTCAGTCATCATCTCAGCACACCATGGGGGCAGGACTGGCATGACTTGTGGTGATGGGGACTGAACCCCAGCCCCTGCGCTCTGCCTAAGCCACTGAGCTAATCTGGCCAACCCTCCAATCCTATCTGTTGAAAGAATTTCCACAGATTCCCATAGTGGTTGTACCAGTATGCACTCCTACCAACAGTGCAGAAGAGTTCCTTTTTCTCCACGATGTTTCTCTCATTTGTTACTAGCTGACTTCTTGATGTTAGCCATTCTTTCTGGGGTGAGAAGGAATGTCAGTGTTGTTTTAATTTGAATTTCTCAAATGACCAATAATGTTGAACATTTTTCATATTTTTTTTGCCATTTATATTTCTTCCTCTGAGAAGTGTATATTCATCTTAGATGCCCATTTTTGGTTTTTTAAAATTTTTTAATTTAATTTAATTTAATTTTTTTATTTTTTCTCACTTACTCTTCTCTCATTGCTGGGATAAATACCCAACACTAAAAATGAAGGAAGGAAAGGTTTATTTAGCTTACAGTTACTTGAAGTTTCAGTCCATGCTCAGCTGGCTCCAAGGCAGAGTGACACATGGCAGACAGCAACCTTTCATTTTGGCTGCAAAGAGCAAGAGAGCAAAAAGGAGGAGTAGCAGCAACAACAGCAACAGAGATCAAGTCTGTAACTCCTCTGTCTTTCTTATGCTACATTCAGGCTATCTGCCTCAGGCTAGGGGTAGCACTCACACCCATAATCCCAGCAGTACTAAAACCCATAATCCCAGCCTTGGATCATGAATGAATCACAAACTGTAGAATTGCACCTCAATGACTGCATGAGACTTTGAGGGACAAATACATATAAACCATATCATTCTTCCCTTGGACCCCAAAGACTCATGCGTGTCCCTGTAAGAGTTACCAAAGTCAAAACTGTTTCAGCATTGCTGAAAAATCCAAGTCCCAAATTGCCTCCAAGATCTAAGGCAAACTCTTAGCTGTGAGCCCCTATATAAAACAAAGGTTAAACATTTCCAACATTCGATGGCACATGGTTAACATTACCATTCCAAAAGGTACAAACAACAGGGGCATACAAAGCACTTTGACCAACACAAATCCAAAATCTAGCAGGGCAAACCTTAAGTGCTATAGGCAAATTGTGAGCTGCATGTGGCTCAGCCCCTATGGCACTCTTGGTCCCATGGCTTCTCTCTTAGACCAGCTTTGCCTCCTCCTTGCAGTTTCCCTCAGATGATCCATGTTCCTGACTTTTCCAAACTTCTGGGGTTTCCACTGAATAGACTTCACATTCACAGCTTTATACACTGCCCTCTCAGGGACACACCTCCTGGCCTCCCAGGCCTTCTAAAATCTAGGTGGAAACCTTCTTAACCTCAGAACTCCTGCATTCTGAATGTCCCTAAAACCAATATGATGTGGATGCTGCCAAGGTCTGCTGCCAGCTGGCAGTCAGGCTTCCTTCTCTCTTGGCTGTAGGGGCCAAGTGCCTGGATCACTGAGCACTCTGATCCTGATCCCAAGGAATAAATTCTCTGAGAACATGTGGCTCTGTGACTTTCCCCTCAAGGTAAAGTCCCTCTCCATTGTGGTTCAGATGCCCATTTTTGGATCAGCAGAATTCCACAAGAAATTTATTTATTTATTTATTTATTTATTTATTTATTTATTTATTTATGCAGAACCAGGGATTGAACTCAGGCCCTTGCACTTGCCAGGGAAGCCCTTATTCCACTGAGCCATCTCCCCAGCTCCAGCCACAAGAAATTTAGAGAACATTTAATGATAACTTTTCTCAAACTCTTCAATGAAACTGAAAGGGAAGCAAAACTCCTACACTCATTCCTGGAGGCAAGTATTACTCTGATTCCAAAACCAGAGAAAGATCAAACTCAAAAAAAAGAATGACAGGCCAATCTCTCTAATGAATATAGATGTAAATATCTTCAATAAAATATGGCCAAACAGCATGTAGCTAATAATAAAGAAGATTATATGACCAAGTGGAATTCACTCCAGCAATGCAGAGATGGTTCAATGTACACAAACCCATAAATGTAATAAATGTAATATACCACATCAATAGAACCAAGAATGACTTTTGATAAAGTCCAGCACTCACTCATGATAAAAACCACACAGAGAATTGGAAAAGATGGTCTACATCTCAAACTGATAAAAGTCATCTATGAGAAACCAGCAGCCAACATTGTACTAAATGGGGAAAAACTGAAGGCTTTCACTTTAAAATGAGGAGGAAGACAAGGATGTCCACTGTCACCACTCTTGTTCAATGTAGTTCTGGAAACATTAGCCAGAACAATTAAACAAGAGAGAGAAATAAAAGGAATGAGGATTGGAAAAGAAGTGAAATTATTATTTGCAGATGATATGACACTCTACACAAAGGACCCCAGAAACTCCACCAAGAGTCTTGTAGATTTAATCACCAAATTCAGCAACATAGCAGGATACAAAGTCAAAACCCAAAAATCAATAGCATTTTTGTACACAAAGAATGAATACACTGAGAGAAAAATTAGGGAAACTATGCCTTTCACAATAACATTCAAAAAATAGAAATACTGTGGAACCAATCTCACAAAGGACTTAAGAGATCTATACAGTGAAAAGTATGATACTCTGAGAAAAAAGATTAAAGAGGACTTGAGAAATTGGAAGAATATTCCATGATCCTGAATAGGAACAACCAAAATTGTGAAAAAGTCCACACTCCCCAAATAGTTATACAGATTCAATGCAATCTCCATTAAAATAATATTAGTATACCTCATATAACTACAGAAAACTTTCCTCAAATTCTTTTGGAACCAAAAGAGACTGAGAATATCAAAACCAATCCTGAGAAACAAAGGAAAGGCAGGAGGTATCTCAATACCTGACCCAAAGTTATACTAGAAAGCTATTGTGATAAAATAAGCATAGTACTGGCATAGAGACAGACCTGAGGTTTAATGGAACAGATTAGAAGATTCAGACACAACTAAAAACACAATCAGCCACTTTGTCTTTGATAAAGGGCCAAACAGGCTCACTGGATGAAAGATAGCCTCTTTAAAAATGGTGGAGGAAAAACTGGCTTTCCACATGCCGAAGGCTAAAAGTGGACCTATGCCTATCATCATGCACAAAGCTACAATCAAAATGAATCAAAAATTTAAATATTAGAACAAAAACACTAAATCTTCTGTAGGAAAATTTAGGTAGAAATCTTAAAGACATCAGGCTAGGTAAAGTGTTCATGAACAAAACCCAAATTGCACAGGAAATAACTGGGATTTCTTCTTTTTGAAAAGTTTCTGCACTTTAAAGAAAATGTCCAACAGAGAAAAAAGAAAACCCACACACTGAGAAAATTTTAGCCAATTGTCCCTCCAACAAAGGCCTTCTATCTAGAACATATAAAGAATTTAAAAAGAAAGCTTTCCTAAGAAAGACATTTATAGCAGTGAATTCTCACATCAGGAAAATTGAATGAGCATCAATAAGCAACCTATACTATGCATTGCAGCAAATACTATGAAATTTATATTATTTTGTTTAGTGAAATTCTGTATCATTTGTAGTTATTCTGCTTTAATACTATTATGTACTCTAAAAAATAAAAAATA